TCTCCTTTAAGCCAAAACACTGAAGCAACTTGGGCTTCTGCACTCCTGACTGGCCTCATGCCAGTTGTGTTTCTGTCAGGAATACCCAGGCTGCCTTCCCTTTACCTGCTGCCCATATCGTTACTGTTAGCGAGCCCCTCACCCCTGCCTTGGGCAGCTCCTTGCTGCCAAGTGCACTAAGGCTGTGATTGATTGGCACATGCTGCATTTTCCAATTTGAACACTTTGTAATCCTATATAATTCTAGGATGTGATGATATGTTTTGGCTAGGCTTCTTGTCAAGCTGCCCTGGAAACCTCTGGAAAATCATCTGGCTTGGGAAGCACCTAGCTGTGGAAAGAAAAGGGAAATATTTTTTTCAGGAATCATGACTCACACAGGACCACCAGAGGAATAGAGCTGAGCTGAGGCAGAAGTTTAGGAAATATTTAGTCTTTCTGTCTTGCCGCAGCTCCCTTTTGAAATTATGGCATATGCTGGCATATTCACCCTAGGTACCAGAAGACCAGCCTCACGTTGCTCTGTGTTCCCTGAGGCAGGACTGGAAGCTTAGGAAGAAATAAACTACTAGTATTTCTTTTTAAACCTTTTTTTTCACTAAATGTGCTGGATGATTTATTAGCTGGTTTAATGAAGGTATGAACTTGGCAGTGATGTGTTAGCTGGCTAGAAGTTAATAAATACTGAAGCAAATACCACTGATTAATTCTGTCTTGCAACAACTTTGTTTTCCCAAATCCTCACATCCACCCTCTTTTTCTTACTCAGATAGTCCTGTACCCAAGCTACTCATTCCATGCCCCTTGCTGTTCACTTAGGCTGTTCTCTGAATGCCCTCCAGCTCGCGGGAATTGTCCTGTTAATGTTTTTAAACCATTCAGTGCTTTCTGGCAGCCTTTGGAGTAGCAAAGCTGTAGCAAAGACTAACTGCGTTACTGGAATCCTAAAAACTGGTGTCTGAGTCAGTGAGATCTGGGCCCTGCAATCCCCACAAGTGGGTGTCCTATGGAAGGTCTCAAGACTTGACTTTCAGTTTGGATTCTTCTCCCAAACTTCTAGCCTAGAGATAAGCTTAGATTGAGTAAACTAGATGTATTTCTCCTCACAGAACAAAAAGATAAATGCTTTTTTCAGCATTTCTGTGGATCCTTGTCTGTAGGGCCATCTGGATTCTTTGGGCATGTGGATGCAATTGCCTCATAGGAATCAGGGATTCCCATGGAACAACCTTCAATAGAGTGTACAGCTCCAATAGGATTTTTGCCAGTTCATTGGTGAGACTGAATTCCCATCCTTTAGCCCCCTCTTTCCATCTTTCACCCTTAAGTGAGTTGATTAGTCTTGGCTATCTGAGGAGCACGATGACAGTGAAACTGCAGCCATATGCAAAGAGGCAGCAAGAACCGTCGTGGTAAAAGATTTAGGTTGTGTGTTCAGTTTCTTGGGTGAAGTGGCTGGGGTTTGCAGAAACAGTAATCCATTCAGAAAAGTCAGTCTCCAGAAAGACAATTTCTCCTCCAATCGGCAGTTCTGATGATGTTACTGTGCGTCTTCTGTGCCATATGTAGTACCTTTTTGTATTTAAATCATATTTTTTCTCTTAAATCGCTGCATGGTGATTACATTATATATTATGAGGAACTTGCTTCACTGCCTCTTGAGCTTGGCCACATCGTCTGTGCAGCTGACAGTACTGAGCAGAGAAGGGTATTAAGCCATCAATGATGGAGCTCCAAAAGTGTCATTAGGGCAGTAATAGATAGCGGGGTATGTCTGGAGCTATGTGGCTGCTGCACCTAACGCATCGGCACTCGCAGGCATGCCCGGTATTTGCCCCAGCCATCTCCTACTTGAAGCAGAGCCATGCAGACTGGTTGGGAGCCAGCTTGGAGAGCTCCTGCAGCTTCTCTGCAAAGCTGCAGGGGCAGGAGGTAAAGAATGTTGACGTTTGCAATCAAAATGTCTGCCAAGCAGAGGTGCTTAGAGTCACGGTGCTCCCTGTGTGCCTGCAGCGATCTGTTATCTCCTGCCTCGTGCCGCCGTGACACGCTTTTCTAAGCAGGGATCACCTCTGGGTTTACATTTGCTGTTGTGTCTGTAGGACTGGGGAGGATTCAGTGCTTACATGGCAAGTGGCTTGTGGTATTCAAGCCCTGCGGTATTACAAATGATAAATAAGAAGACTGAGGTAATTTGGCAAAAAGTGGCAGGTACAGACTGCCTATTCCCATTCCTGAGAATCGCTCCTCTCAAAGGGGCGTGAGGGCTTTAGAGAGAGCTCATCAAAGCCTGTAGAATCTGACACTGTTCTGCCTGATGCATTTTAAGCCCCAGTGTCAATCCCAGCTTTCCAAACTATGAATATGAGAGGGAGGATCTTTTTACAGTCGTTCTGGTTAGGGAAAACCAAGGCCAGAGATGCATGGATGGGAGGCTGGGGATCCCTGTGCCAGTAATGTTACTGCCAGGCTTCGCTGCAGTCCCTGAGATAGCAGGAAGCCAGGAGAGGGTTTCCAAGAGAGAGCCAGGTACCCAGGGCACAAAAGAAGTCACTCATATCCCTAGGGAAGCTGTTAGAGTGACTCCCAGCAGGAGCTGGCCGCATGCTTCCTGCAACATTGACCCTCAAAGCCTTGTGCTGGGAGCAGTGCAGGCAGAACAAGCATCCGTCTGCTGTTGCATCTGTGACAGTGAATCACAGCCCACCCGGGGAGCCTTTGCTGCCATCGAAACCAAATAGCCAGGCAGAGCTGCGTGATGCAGCCAGAGCTCCAGAGAGACAGCTGGGAAATGGCTTTGTGTCAGCTCGCTGGCATTTTGCTGTCAAATGTCAAAGTGTGCCTGCGCAAGCCGTGTCCTCCCACAGCAACATCTGCCCCAGAGAGAGGCCTTGTTGCTCAGCCAGACTTGCCAGCATAGCAGTGCTGGTGCTGCAAATCTGTTACCAGCCGTCGCTTGCAGAGAGATGTGGCCTAAACCTAACAACCAGCCACCAAAGTACCTGCAAAAGGAGGACATACCTGAATGGACAAGTGCTAGAAGTTTAGGCCCATCCTTTTTCCCTTGGTGCTAGGGGGGAATAGGCTAAATAGTGGTGTGCAAGCTGCTACAGAACAGGGCATGAACATTGCCCCAGCTCTGAATACCATCTTCAGTATATGGGTGTGCTAGGTGCAGAGCCAGGAGCTGCTGGTGGTTCTTGAGCAATGTGAGCTTGGGAATCCCTGATGTAAAAGCTCTCCTGGGAATCAGAGCTGAGAACTGGCTCATTCCTTTCAGCCATGGCAGTGGAGGATGCAGGAAGGTAGCCAGAGGCTTGTCAGACAGAGGAGTCACTGGAGGGGACTGAAGGGTTATATGGGCATTAAGGAATCTATAGTTGGTGGGAGCTTAGGATCACATGATAATCTAGTTGGATGTGGTCCAAGTGTCCTCTCCAGCTCAGAGCCTTATTCTTAGTGAAACATCCCAGCAGGAAGAGGTGTGAGGATGTGGGACCGCCATGCGGCTCTCTGCTGATCCTGGTAGAGTCTAGCCTGATCCACAGGCTTGCCTGCTTGCTAGCACTGGTATTAGCATTAACTCTTACATCAATAAGTGTTTATGTAAACACCAGGTCCATTTCCATCTTTCTTTTTTTTCCTGCCAACACATCATATGTTTCTGAGATGCACTGTTACGCGTGGGAGGAAAGTGCTTTTGATCAGCTTTATTTTAGCTTCTTTTAATTGCTGTTCTTATGCTGTGAACTGGAAGAGTCGAAGCTCCTGATCTTCCTTCTCTAGAGCTGTCTCATTGTTTACACTGCTCTGACTTCTCCTATCCTACTTTTCGCAATTTCTCTTCTGGGCTTTCATGTGCCCTTGTAGCTCTTCTCCAAATTCAATATCATTTCATAGTCACAAATGCTGAGGTAAGGTAGACGAAGGTCTAGATGTTCTGGATGTTACATCCTGAGGTCTCAGTATGGTCCCTCAAGACCATCCTGGTTCAACACTGTCTTTTGTGGTTTCTCCCTCTCCTTTCTGCCTTAGCTGCTCTTCCTTGCACTCTTCTGCTCTGGCTTCTTTGAAGTGTAGAAGGGAATGCAAAAGGGAAAACACCCACCAGGTTTTCCTGGGTGCACTTGCTGTTTGGCCCTCCGGGGCAGCTGGGGAAGGAGGGATGAGCATGTTCCCTGCTCTCCAATGTCAAATTCTGGTTTCCTGACCACTGATAGAGCTGAGCTTTTAGTACCCTTTCTGTATGGCTCCTGGGAGTGTGAACTTTTACACTGGTGCTTCTGGGAAGTACCGTAGGTAAGTACTACAGATAATGTGACAAAATGGCAAAAAACTGTGAGCCAGGCATCCTACGACTGTCATCCACAAAGGATTAGTAGAATGCAAGGTGCTGTATGGGATCTTCAGTAGTAGCTCCCCAAGGGCTCACTGAAGTCATCCACTCCCCATAACATGAGAGGCACTTGTGTGCCAAGGCTGTCCTGGACTTCTGTATCTCTAATGCTGAAGGATCTTCCAGCACAGTCAAGGGTTTTGTTCTTAAAGGAAAGTTGCAGACATTGAGAGGCAGAGAAAAAATGCTGAATCTGCTGCAAGAAGATAGACTGCCCTTTTCAGAGGCCATGTATGTGTTGCCTGCTTGCTTTCCTGAGAGTTTTTAGTGCCACCATGACTGCAGAGCCGTGTCCTGAACAGGACCTCTGCAGCACTTCGGTCACTTGAGCGAAATCAGTTTATTGTCTTCAAAGAGGTTTGAGACGGGTTAGTTGGAAGCACAAGTGTTGTGCCAGGAGTCTGGAGGGGGACATGTTGGCCTTGCATTGCAATGCTTTCCTGAAGAAGAAGAGCTGAGGACCTTAGTAATTGTGCTGAGAGAACCTAGTCTACTCATGCATGCAGTCTTCACTGAAATCAAGGATGCTCTAAACTGTTACTGCCTTTCTTGAGAGGTCACTTCCTCTGTTTTGATTTTTTCCTCTTTTTAGGTACCCGAATTCCCTAATGAGAAGTGTTCTCCCAGCTTCCCATGCACACCCTAACCTGTCCATGGGTCGTGCCAGCTTAACTGATGTCCTGAAGAGCATTCCTCACCATGGATAGTCCACCCAAGCTGACTGGCGAGACACTGATTGTCCATCACATTCCCCTGGTGCATTGCCAGGTCCCTGACAGACAGTGCTGTTCTGTGAACAAAAGGACCAACCCCTTCTGCCAGCCAGAGATAGGCATCACACAGACCTCTGTCCTTCCAGACAGAGACCTTTCACAGACTGACTCCTTGGTGTACAACAGTTTTCTCCAAAGCTCAGAAACCTCAGCAGAAGCTTCAGACAACAAAGAGGGCAAAGAAAGGGACTTGATTGTCCCTGGTGTCAGTAAGCGGCACAACCCTTTCCTGCTAACTGAGGGTGAAGACCTCGGCATCTTCGGGGATGACTTGGGTCAAAAATCTTTCCACCTTCACAACTCCCTTGTGTCTGGCAAACCTCCCTTTCACCTGCACGAGCTGTCCTTGCCCCCTTTCCACCTCCACGACTCCAACCATATTGTGAAATCCTGGAACATGGCCAGTCGATCTGGT